TGTTTGCTCTTTATATGAAATACTTTGATTATTTTAAATTAACAATATATTTTAAATATACCCATAGCAAAAATCAAAAATCACAGATTTTTATAAAGTATTTCCACTTTCAACACAAATATTTTGGTTTATTAGCAACACACACATTTTTTTGCTTTTGTCAATGTTGCAAAAATATTATGACCCTGCTGCTCCTATTACAAATTTTACACCGGCAATATAGTAGCTATGTAGGCAAATTTTCTGTAAAGATTTTCTTAAATTACCTAATCCTCCATGAAATCTTCATGTCAAACAAATTGATTCTTGAGTCTTTTATAATTACACTGTTTACACCTTAAAATAATATCAAATATCGAAATTCTCTTTTAAAAGCAAATCTGAATTTTTCTTTCAATTTTATTTTCATTTTTCTCTCACAAGTTGTGTCACAATTCACCGATTATTTGCAGGTGGTAATGGATTCCGTCACAGCCATAACTCCAGCTATCCCCATTTATGTTCACTTGTCCAATGAACATAAATGATCTGCGTGGTCGTTTCTTTATTTTGAAAACTCAAACCCCTCGTTCGAGCACTTACAGATTTGGAAACTGGTCTTTGAAAAGAGACATTACAAAGTGGTTACAAAATTCCATGAATGTTATATATTNTTCTGAAATTTCATTTAATGTTATATATTAAATGGTTACATAATTCATTTAATGTTATATATTACATTGACGGTTACAAGAGAGTTTGACAAATCAGAATAGTCTGAAATCTCGTGAAACTCTTCTGTAACCGTTTGCAGAAAACAGTGTATATCTTTGAAAGTGTTAATATACGGTTACACGAGAGTATAACCACAACCTCCCTGCACAAGTTAAACTTTTCTGTAACCGACCCAGAAAGATACAACATCGCATACATACACTTCTAAAAAGAAAAATATATCGGTCAAGGAATACTTAGCCTTTTCACATGCTCAAGATTCAACACCACCATCCGTCTTGCTCCCTACAGACGAATTAAGCTTATATTATCTCTCTGGAATAAACAATATTTGTGTACTGAATAAATGTTGCTAAGAATTAAGTTTGTAAGGAACTTTGAAAGTATCTGTTAATTAACAATTTTTATTTATTTAATTTAATTGTTATGAAATATCGATTTTCTACTATGTTTGTTATTGTCATATGTACCTAAAGTTTATTTCCTTTGTAGCATATAAAATGAGTAAATTGGGTAATAATCCAAAAATAAGTGATAAATTAGAAAGTACCCAGGATAACAATTGTTTGGGCTAAATACGACCGACGATCCAACACACCACAACACCATGCAGCGGACTACATAACACATCTACATCATGCTTGGAAACCATCAGTACAGCCTTGCCAGCTTAGAGGAATGGTTGGGAAGGATCCAAACTGATGTTTTTGGTTTGAAGACTAGTATGACCAGAAGTGAGAGAGCCACAAGAAGCTTTTTAACCTCATGGTTTGAAGAAACACAAGACAAGGAGGACACTTGTTTCCCAACAAGTACCTGCAACCCACCTTACTAGCCACCATAATTCCATAGTCAAGCTAACTGACTTTAACCAAGCGCTGAGTGGGAGGCAACCCACTGATAGGTATTTTACTTCTTTACTTTATTTTATTTTTACTTATTAGTTTTGTTTTTATTTGTTTTTAGGAAGATAGATATACGATCACTACCTATCGACCGATACGAACCAGTCGATATCGCTTGACACAGACCTACACGCATCGATCGATGATGGCAACTCACCATCGATCGATATCCATATCGGTCAGGTATATCGTTCACCACTTCGATATCAGTTACACATTTAATTTTTCTTATACACCTCTTACTCTGACTGATTATACACTGAGGACAGTGTATGATTTAAGTCTGGGGGGAGTTGATTACTGATGCTACTTTACCTCTTTTTATCTTATTTTTACAAGTTTTCAAAAATTGGTTTTATTGAGTCAAGAAGGAAAAAAATTTCAAAGTCTTACTTTTTATCTTACCACTCTTTAGCACCATTCTTAGATTTGTTGATTGCAGAAAGTACTATAGATGCTAAAGTGGATCACCGATCACCTATGTCAACACTTTCATGATTGTCTGGAAGAACCAAAGCTGATTTCCAACCTAACCTGACATCTACTACTTGTCTTGGGGCTTCGTATACAAGGGATCGGAATCCTCCTACAAGTTTGGAAGGTAAAAGTCTCAAAAATTTTGGTTTCCTTATTTCCTTCCTTCGGCATCCCCAGAGAATAAAAGACTGATATGATTTCCTGAGAGGCAGAGGGAGAGGTACATTACCTATGACCCCACTATTCTAAATCAAAGGAATGATCAAAGCGAGGGAGAGGTACATTGCCTATGACCCCACTATTCGCTTACACTTTGTCAAGAAAAATCAAAAAGATGAACATTAGTTGTTCATTGGGATTGATATAAAAAACAGAAAGAAAGAGTTTGGATTCAGAGAAGGGAGATAAATAAAGGAAGGGAACCAGGATGAGAATGCCTGAAACTTGTTTGAGTTGAATCCATGTGTTCCTTGATCGATACTCCCAAGGTAAAGCCTACACCTTTATTTTTATACATAAATGAAATCACTAGAGGGGATAGACAGATAAGGAATGTTTAAGTTGATTGGCTAGATATATTTGGTTGCTAAGCTAGGATATGGTATAATGTACTTCTGTAGTTGATAGATATGAGATGTGGCTTGCAACAAAGTAAGAGGTGATGATTTTAAAGTTGAGATTTTGATTGAGTCCCTGCTGTTTTTAAACTTCTTTCAAAGACTAACTTAAGGTTTGCTTGAGGACAAGCAAAAGGTTAAGTCTGGGGGAGTTGATATACCATGATTTTGACCCGTTTTTGGTCATGGTATTGATATGTTTTTANATAGATATGAGATGTGGCTTGCAACAAAGTAAGAGGTGATGATTTTAAAGTTGAGATTTTGATTGAGTCCCTGCTGTTTTTAAACTTCTTTCAAAGACTAACTTAAGGTTTGCTTGAGGACAAGCAAAAGGTTAAGTCTGGGGGAGTTGATATACCATGATTTTGACCCGTTTTTGGTCATGGTATTGATATGTTTTTAAAATAATTATCTATGTTTTGGAGTCTATTAGGTATGTTTTCAGGTTCAGGAGCATTTTGTAGTAAAGTGATGATTTAGGTGCCTTATGGAGCTTAAAGGAGAGTTTTACAAGATGACTATGAAGATCCGACAATGAGAGACACATATCGACCGATACACACCTTGTGTAATCGATCGATGACGATTTTGTAGAATTTGAAGTCGAGATACTACATCGATCGATGTACACCATGTACCATCGATCGATACAGAGCGTGATGAGCAAGATTTACTTGGCCGACTTGAAGCCCAAGTTCTCACCAAATTACAAGATTGCCCCTGACGAGTTTTTAACCTAACTTTACTCATATTTATAGTTATGCCTATGAGCCCTAGAATGAATCATTAGATCTAATAAGAAAGTATTGAGTTTTTATCTAAGTTTTGTATTCTATTTTACTTAATAATAAAAGTATTTTCTCTTCATCTTATTCTTTTGCTATGAATCTCTTGGCTATGTCTGAGTAGATTCATTTGTTAAATTTGGGGTTCAAATAGTTATGAGGGATTTGCCCCAACTATGGATTGTTGAGTTGTTATATTCATTATCCAAATGAACCCTAATGGTTACTCTAGATTTGCTACCTAGAGTTATGATTATGGAGTGACTAATCTAATAGTCATTGTCCTGAAATCATTTGGCTAAGCTCAGACTCTATTAGGCACGAGCGATAGCCGGTCTAATAGAAATTCTCGGGTGAACACAGTTTCAATTCGATCTGATGCTATATCGATCGATACTTCTTTAGAGTCATCGATCGACGACAACATATATCAATCGACACTGCGATAGCAACATCGATCGATACTGTCGGCAATCAGATCAATGGACGAGTCTAATAGCGACAGCTATAGATTTGTCTAAGGATTGAAGTTCTCATATATTTGCAAGCAATTTGTTAAGACATCCATAGATTTATAATCCTGATTTTCTGAATAGTAACCTTGAATCTAACTACTTTCTTTCATTTTTTTTAAACCCAAAACCTATTTTACTTAGCAACTTACCATTGTTACCAACTCTTATTTATTGTTTTAAACCTTTTCAACCTAGCTTAATCACTTAGGATTATATCTTTTGTGACTCTAGTTCCTTGTGGATTCGATCCCTAAGTACTACGATTGAACCTCTTATTTGAGAGAGTAAATCACTCCTTAGAGTTAAACATTTGAGTGATATCAGGTAGTTCTATTGGTAACATTATACAGTGTACACTAACCCCAGTTCGATACTCCAGATCAATATGTTTTAAATATTTTTGTAGCTTTTTAAAAATAATGGGTTAAAAACCATTTTTTCTGGGCCAAAATTTATCAGGCCCGTCAATGAAAAGAAACTAAAAGTTTAGTTCATCGGTGGATACCAAGAGGGAGGGTGGGTGTTGGATCTTTGAGTAGATTAAAAAGGTTTAGTATTCCTAGTGCAATATATTTTTCTTTTGGAAAGTTTATGTATGCGGTGTTGTAGTTTTTTGGGTCGGTTACAGAAAGAGTTTAGCGAGGTGTCAGATTATTTTGTTTTTCCAAACTATCTTGTAACCGTTAATGTAATATATTACCTTAAGTGAATTATGCAACAAATTGATTCTTGAGTTTTTCACAAACTTCGTATATATCTTCAGTATTCATCAATTTCATGTCAAGGCATGGCGAGTAGCAAGGCATGTTCTGTACGCTTCAAGTAACATATATCTTATTAAATATAGAGAAAATAAAGACACTTTTGATAATAGGATTTATTTTATTCCATTAATGATACCAACATGATAATGTAAAAATCTAAAATCACCGGAAATGTTATATATAAATTTACCGATGAAGATCGACTTCTACAAAATCCATATTACTGAATCCGCCTGAAATACTCAAGGGTCAAAACATTTTTATATTCCTTGTTAAACACCGATGCCTCGTATATTTCTGCCAAATCCTCCCTGTTATTGACTCCGATTTTAAAATAATCTCTTTGCCCGGTGTCCATCTGCTCCTTTCCCTCAAGGATTCTAATGAACCTCAGGTTATCATCCGCCTGCTTGTTGTGCTCATTGACCGCAAACTTGGCTATGTCGACGTAGTAAACATCATTTAAATCCGTGATTCTCTTCCAGGGACCAGGGGGCTCTTTTTGTCCCACAACTGAGATAAGAGGAAGGAGGATGAGACTGAGACAAATAAAAAGCTTCAACATTTTTTTTCTGGTCTTAAGGGTATAGTAGTTTTGGAGTATTTATAGTCAGGAAAAAATGTTAAAAAAATAAGAGTATAAAGAAATTCAAAATTAGATATTAGTTAAACTTAACAATTTGAGTTATTCCCTATGATAACCCTTTCAATTTCTTTTCACAAAAAAGTCCCCAAGAAAGTGAATGAACAAAAGAGGTTTTATGAAAAGGTAAATATTTTTTTTTTGAATTATACAAAGGTATCTTGGCCTCACAGAAGTGATCCAGACTAGTCACGTGTTACCACGTGTCGGTCCTCTGTCCCTGGCGATGCCGAAATGTTAATTCCCCAGTGGCCGGGATTCGAATTCAGGTGGCGGTATTCACAGCTATAAGCCCTTTACCACTGGAGCTAGAAGCCCTGGTTGAAAATGTAAATATATACTTATATCCTTAACTAGTTTAGACTTAGGGTTTAAAATGAAGAGGTGGACTTAAATTTTTTTTAAATAAATATAAACTTTCAAAATAGGTTTTTTGAAATAAATTCAAAAAGCATTTTCTAATCTCAAAAATAAAATTTGAGAAAAAAACTTATTAGAAAGATATCCAAAAATTATTAAAAGTTTGAATTTGAAAACATACAATTTGAAAATATTATTTTTAATATTTTCATATTTATATATCTATAAAATATTTTTTTTAGTGAAACCTTTTTTGGTTATTTTCCATCTTGGAGATGTTTGTTGACAAAAAAACTAAAAAAAAAACATTATTTAAGAGAATTGCCCCTAAAAATTTGTCTTAGTTATATTTGATTTTTTAACCTAGAAAGTTATATTTGATTTGAATAATCCAATTTCTAATTAATTGTTTGCTCTTTATATGAAATACTTTGATTATTTTAAATTAACAATATATTTTAAATATACCCATAGCAAATTTCACAGATTTTTATAAAGTATTTCCACTTTCAACACAAATATTTTTGGTTTATTAGCAATACACACGTTTTTTTTGCTTTTGTCAATGTTGCAAAAATATTTTTACCCTGCTGCTCCTATTACAAATTTTACACCGGCAATATAGTAGCTATGTAGGCAAATTTTCTTTAAATTTTTTCTCAAATTACCTAATCCTCCATGAAATCTTCATGTCAAACAAATTGATTCTTGAGTCTTTTATAATTACACTGTTTTCACCTTAAAATAATATCAAATATCGAAATTCTATTTTAAAAGCAAATCTGAATTTTTCTTTCAATATATAATGTTATATATTACATTGACGGTTACAAGAGAGTTTGACAAATCAGAATAGCCTGAAATCTCGTGAATCTCTTCTGTAACCGTTTGCAGAAAACAGTGTACATCTTTGAAAGTGTTCATATACGGTTACACGAGTGTATAACCACAACCTCCCTGCACAAGTTAAACTTTTCTGTAACCGACCCAAAAAACTACAACATCGCATACATACACTTGTAAAAAGAAAAATATACCGCTCAAGGAATACTTAGCCTTTTCACATGCTCAAGATTCAACACCTACCATCCGTCTTGCTCCCTACAAACGAATTAAGCTTATATTATCTCTCTGGAATAAACAATATTTGTGTACTGAATAAATGTTGCTAGGAATTAAGTTTGTAAGGAACTTTGAGAGTATCTGTTAATTAATAATTTTTATTTATTTAATTTAGTTTTTATGAAATATAGATTTTCTACTATGTTTGTTACTGTCATTTGTACCTAAAGTTTATTTCCTTTGTAGCATATAAAAATGAGTAAATTGGGTAATAATCCAAAATCAAGTGATAAATTAGAAAGTACTCAGGATAACAGTTGTTTGGGCTAAATAGGACTGGGACTTAATATCCGCTATCCGCTATCCGATCCGGGATCTGCTCCGATCTGCCCTGAAAAAAACGGATATCCGGGGGTTCGGATCCGGATCCGGATAGTGATTCTACGGATCCGGCGAATCCGAATCCTAATCCGGCGAATCCGAATCCGAATCCGGCGAATCCGGATAGTGAAATTTTTAGTCCGGATATCCAGATCCAGATTCAGGCCCACTAAATATTTTTTAAAAATTTAAAATATTTAAAATATAATTATATTTATATAGGTATATTATATATTTTTTTATTTAAAATAACCAAAATGCAAATTTTATTATTAAATTATATTATTTTATTTTAACCTTTTGCAAAATAATTATTTTTAATAGAATAAATAAATACTTAATTTTGAAATTTTAATTTAATTTATTTATTTAAAAAAAAATGGATCCGGATTTCCGCGGGTATTCGAATTTTAGTACGGATACCCGGACACCATATATTCGGAGGGTCCGAATCCGGATCCGGATAGCAATTTTACGGATCCGTCGAATCCGGATCCGGATCAGGATATCTCAAAATACCCCAGATCCGATCCGTCCCACCCCTAGGACTAAACACATAAGCAAAATTACATTTCAGTCCGTTTATTATTGAAGAAACTATTTAGGGTAAGATGAGTAAAGGTAGGATCATAAGAGGCTAATAAGATTTTAAAGATATTTGGTAGATTTGGTTAAGATTTAGCTTTGATTTTTTTCCTTCCCAATAACATTAAACAATGGAGTCACATGGAATTAATAAATCAAAGGTGAGGTAGTTTGACACATTTGACTGGAATAATGGTGAATCAGAGCAAATGATCTTCATTTACATACAAAAATATTGTGTATTGAGGAGAGAGCAGAGCCGTGTCTGAACACAAGCTGATGAAGCATGTGCTTTTCTAAAGCCAATAAATATGAAATTATGTGGTAGTTTTATTGGTAACATTATACAGTGTACACTAATGCCAGTTCGATACTCCAGATCAATATGTTTTAAATATTTTTGTAGCTTTTTAAAAATAATGGGTTAAAACCATTTTTTCTGGGCCAAAATTTACCAGGCCCGTCAATGAAAAGAAACTAAAAGTTTAGTTCATCGGTGGAGACCAAGAGGGAGGGTGGGTGTTGAATCTTTGAGTAGATGAAAAATGTTTAGTATTCCTAGTGCGATATATTTTTCTTTTGGAAAGTTTATGTATGCGGTGTTGTAGTTTTTTGGGTCAGTTACAGAAAGGTTTAACTCGTGTAGGGGTTTGTAGATAAACTTTCTTGTAACCATATATGAACACTTTCAAAGATGTAGTCTATTTTTTGAAACGTTTATAGAAGAGTTTAGCGAGGTGTCAGATTATTTAGGGTTTTCAAACTATCTTGTAACCGTTAATGTAATATATTACCTTGAGTAAATTATGTAACAAATTGATTCTTGGCTTTTTAACAAAAAAGTCCCCAAGAAAGTGAATGAACAAAAGAGGTTTTATGAAAAGGTAAATATATACTTATATCCTTAAGGTTAACTAATTTAGACTTAGGGTTTAAAAGTAAGAGGGTGAGCTTAAAATTTTTAAAAATAAATATATAAATATAAATTTCATAATCACTTTTTTAAATAGTTACAAAATGAATTTTCCAATTTCAAAATTAAAATTTGAAAAACAAAAAAAATTTAGAAAATTTTCCAAACATTATTAAAAGTTTGAATTTGAAAATATATAATTCGAAACTTTTATTTTTTATTTGTATTTTATTATTTATTTAGATTCATATACTATACAAAAAAAATTATTTTTATTTTTTAATGAAACCTTGTTTGATTATTTTCCATCTTGGAGATGTATGTTGACAAATATCTAAAACGTTATTTAAGAGAATTACCCCTACAAATTTGTCTTTGTTATATTTGATTTGAATAATCCAATTTTCAATTAATTGTTTACTCTCTATAAGAAATACTTTGAGAATTTTATAAGAAAACCCAATTTTTAAAAATCCAATAAATCTCACAAAACCACTAAAACTTGGAACCCGATCATCGGTTGAACCACTGGTGGAAGCAATAAATAAAGTTTACTTCTTCTTTTTTAAGGTTTCAATTATGTTTTGATTAATTTTTTATTTTTAGTATCTATAAACTAATTATACTATTTGTGATTTTTAGATTTCGATGAAGATTTATTATGACATGAATAAAATGAAGTGAATGATGGTAGAGAAAACCAAAGTTAGCTGATGTGATTTGGTGTTAATTTATTTTGTTATCAACAATTTATTATAATGATGGTTTACTTTTAGATTTATTTTGGGTTTGAAGTTTTATTTTATCATTCATATTAGATATTTAAATATTTCTGAATTTTATATTTTGATTTTTTTGTTATATGTCATAATTTTTAGAAATATTAGGACTCACACCAACACATAATGTCATATTTAACAATATACCCAAAAACACTATTTAAGAACTGTACATTATTATTTATGACACTACTGCCCCTATACTCCACGAAATCTGTTTTCGGTAAAGGGTAGTACTTAAGATCTTCTATCATGTGATATAATTTTATTAGAACTTTATTTGTCAGACGATGAACAACTACAAGCTTATCTTCTTCTTCTTTTTTAACAAATCCCTGCATTCATATTTTTTCACTTCTTTACCCATTTTTTCGAAATTCAAAATCTTTCTCTCTATTTTCTCTCACCTGCTCCAACTTGTAATTACTTGAATCATCTTCTATCTTTTCTCTCCGTTTTGACAATAGTTCAAAAATCTTCTCATGTCAAGCTCACATGTTATTCATTTAGCAAATTAGAAGATTTTGTTTGGATGACTGGTTTTTATGCAGACATAAGTGTGCACTGATAAAACTCAAGTGTACACCGAAATCTCAATCTCGCCACCTTCGCGGCGTCTCCAGTGAAGTTCTCTGCTGCTGCGTGAATCTTGCGGCCTCGACATCTCTGGTCAAGCTCTCCGCCTCTGTCTCCAGGGAATCTCACACCCCCGCTGCGTCACCAGTGAAGCTCTCCGCTGCTGCGCAATGATGATAAGAGATGAGTGTTTTGGTTAGAGTGATGCAAGAAACAAACGTTAGCCCGTTAATTTATCGGATAACATATAATTCTTTGTTTAAGTT